GGGGGGGGCAGTTAGTGGTATTTTGTATGTGTAGTTGGAAAAAAATAAAATAGTCCAGAATAGTGTACGTACAGGTTTGAGAAGTTGAACATGAAAACGTTTTCGACTGATAATAAAAAAAACATCAGGAAAAAAACGAAACATAATGTTAAGAAATTTAAACAGTTACTCTAGCAGCTTTCCGTCATTGCTATGAATCTGACATCGAATTTAGTCCAAATATTAGTAAATTCAGAATTATTAGCTAAAATGTAAATTGCCGTAATTTTTCAGATAACCAAAAATGCCGGTGATCCAAGCGGAGGGTACGCTTTCCTGAAGGTAGCGGCGACGAACAGCGACGATATTTTTCTGAACAGTGAACCTGTATTAGTTACGAAAAGCCCCCTTTTCAACAGGCGTGTTTTATTAATTACTTCATGTCACAAAGTAAATTTATACAGGCAAAACTTTATTCAAGGAAATAGTTTCACGAAATGAACGAGAGTAAAATATAAGTCGGCACAAATATAAGTCATACAACAATGAGTCATGTTATGGGTCATGTTATGGGCCATATCGGATTATAATGGCATACCTTGATGCAAAACAGTCTATCGTGTCTTCCACCGCGAGTCCCTTTATTTAATATATTGTATTATTCATAACCCATTTCATTTGACACTCTCTCTTTTTCTCTCCCTTCCCCTTTCTCTTGTTAGGAGGGTAAATTATTAAGCACTCAAAATCTGCATCACCAATCTTCAGAAAAAAATAATTCAACGAACCAGTGGACTGATCCACAACATCCGTCCCAGCAGATTGAATCAAATAACAGCTAGCACAAATTTATATGCAGATAGCTATAGTGTCACAACACACATAATCAGCTGCACACGCGACGCTGTTGAACAAAAGGATAGTTCGCTACGGGAGACCGTTTGTTTACATAAGTACTCTAAGGGGGCGTGGCTATCCAGTCGACCAGGGGATTAGGCTAGTTACTATATGCCGTCAACAATCGTTTAGCGACCCTATCATTATACACTCTCTCTATTGTATTTTCCACCGCATTAATCGCAGTTTAATCTTCAAATGGTCCACGGGGTAAATATACACATTCTTAATACTAGTACGGTACAAGAATTGTCTGAGTAGACATGTATCCAGACTATGAAACTGAAACCGATCTATCCCCCACCTGCCCCTAACGTAAAATTCCCCCCAAAAAATGGACAAAAACCTATGGGGAACTAATGAGCATACACTGTATGTCCTATAGGAATTCTTTAAGACGCAGATAGAATCAAAATATAGAGTCTGATCGAAATGGAGTTCAATCGAATGTCACTTCTGGGGAGTTGAATGGATTGTTCCAAACATAAAATTTGGGTTGATATAGAAATCTCACGACGGAAGAGGATTTTAAAATAATAAACTCTCTTTTATGCACGACAATCGCCTCACATAAAACGGTGCAAAAAGCTGACCTGTTTTTCCTCTTAAATTTCTTTACCTTCTACCAAGGACGCAGATTAATTTAATTGCACTTTTTTTTCTAAAGCGACACACAGTGAAGAAATGTGACAGGAATTAACTAAAGACAGAACTGTGAACATCAAGTGAAAAATAAATCTCTAGAAAAAAATTTTGAAAAGTTTTTTTTCTCTCTTTCTATTATGATATTTACCGTTACTGCTTTTTGTTTTTTTTAAATAGTGCACTCTTTATCAGCGCAAGCATGGATAAAATTAATCGGGCCCATCTTAACAAGAGAAGCTACTACCACATTCCTCAAGTAACGTCAAACGCGTACGTCACCCTGCACGAGGCGTTCGACACCACAGCGCAACTATATCCCACCAAAAATGCCGCCATTTTTTACCAGACCCGAGAGCAGCGTGAGAGTATGACATTCTCTGAACTTAAGAAACAGTCCATCTCATTGGCCGAGTCACTCCGTCGCCGTGGTTACTCACGTGGCGACCGCGTGGCATTTAGCTCACCGAACTGCATTGAGTTTTTCCCGCTCACTTTGGCTTTGTCTCGTCTAGGATGCAACATGTTCATGTTGAGCAATTTGAACAACCTTTGCGATGACGTGCTGGAATACAAATGCCGCGCTTTAATGCTGTACGTGGGAAATGATAAGGAGAGGGAAATATACAGAGAAATCGCCTCCAGGGTACCTCAAGGGACCAACCCACTGGGAGACATCGTCGTTTTTGGACCCTACGGCGACGATGTTCTTAGGACTGGTGCTTCGCTGAACAATCTAATCAAGGGAGAAGGAAATGGCACCCCGATAGATGGAGCAGCGGATCAAGTCGACCCAGACGATCCCATGTGCGTCTTCTTCACGTCTGGTTCCACTGGGAAGCCGAAAGGCATTCAGTTGACTCACAATGCCTACGTCAACTGGGCCCGAATGGACGTTGTGTCCTACGCAAGCGCCGACAGCGTCTTATTTATCGACCGTCCGATGACCTGGTTAGGTGGACACGGGCTGATTATGGAAATGGCCGTATTCGGGACAACCGCTCTCACTGTCAGCTCCAGTCTTGTTGTTGCGGAGGGAGAGGTGGACTTCGTCTTCACCATCTTGAAAAGAGAGAGCGTCACCAACACCGTTATGATGCACTATTTCATCGTGGACCTTTTAAACTACAGTGATGCCGTTTCGTTCTGTCAGGTACCCAGTCTTCGCCATATCGCAACAGGTGGGCAGGTGATGGACAGAGATCAGCTTAAGAAGCTCCTGACCCTCTTCCCTAACATCAAACAGATCACGGTCGGGTATGCATCCACCGATGCCGGACCGATCGCCATGCAGGACGTCACGTATGACACCAGAAGTGACAAAATGCAGGTGATAGACGGCGTTGAAGTGAAAGTCGTTGAGCCGGACACCAATCGCGATGTACCTCCTGGGTCCGCAGGTGAAATTTGCGTCCGTAACCCCATGATTTACCGCTGCCTTTATGTGGACAACGAGGCGGCTTCCCAGGCAGCGTTTGACGAGGCGGGCTGGTTCCATACCGGTGACATTGGTGCCATGACCACCGACGGTAAACTCTCTGTCTCGGGCCGCAAGGACGATATGATTAAACGGGCTACTGTCAAGGTCTTCCCAGCCGAGGTAGAGGCCGTCCTCGCTCAAAACCCAGCCGTTAAAGACGTCATCGTGGTAGGTGTACCGGATATCCGGTTACGAGAGGAGCTCTGCGCATGCGTTATCATGGAGAGCAACGGGGATGTAGCGGAATTGGAGAGTTGGTGCAAAGAAAAGTTTTCTGTGGGGCCGGATGGCTTGTCACTGGCGCCCAAATATTATCTTCAGTTCGAAGAATTTCCCTTAACAGGCACCGGAAAGACTCAACGAAAGTCTATAAGAGAAAAGGCTTTAGAGAAACTGAACTTATGAAAAGTTACCCTGTAGAATGATTGAATAAAGACATCTAACAAGGGGGGAAATATTGATTAGTTTGAATTGTTTGCAAAAGGAAATATTTATTGACAAAGGACACATTTCGGGAAAAAATATCATTTGTACGAGAAGAAGAAATGTGTGATGAACACGAAAGACCCTTACACTGTATAGTTTCGCCAGCTGTAGTGTATTTACAAGTTCAGTAGAATTGTGGAGATACTTTTGGTTAAAGCATGTCAAAAATAAATACTTTATCAGACAATATTACATCTGCATTCAGCTATTGGCAAGATATAATCAATTAAAAAAGAAATGGCGAAATATCAGGTGCTTAGGTTTTATTGTTTCGCGTAGTTACATGTACCCTTGTGTAAAAAGGAACATGCGTTTCAAATTTTACTTTTTATCCCTTAAGGGTAAAACGCAAGCCGTAAAATCTCCATAGATAAATTAATACCGTCAGCTTTTGTTTGTTGAGGCAACGCATTTTAAATTCTAGTCTGCCATTATTTTCTCTCCACTCCCTTCCAAATCTCGTTTGATTCCTCGTTAAGTCACGATGTTTTTCGATCGTCTGTCTCGGATCAGGGCCAGTGTTAAAACACTGCATGCGGGCTTCCATATGTTACAGCATGGCGCGACCTCAACCAAAACTAGATGCAAATCACACCAAGGGAAGATTCAACTCGTGCGTGGCAGTAATCACCGGGGGAGCCTCGGGTATAAACAGGGCGTGTGTCAGTCGTTTCCTGAATGACGGTGCGTCCGTGGCCTTCTTCGACATCGACCAAGATGCGGGGAAACAGTTGGAGTCAGAGCTTAAGGCGGAGGGGTTAGACGCCGCATATTACCAAGTCGATGTGTCTAACAGGGACGCGTGTTCTAAGGCACTGGTAGACATAGCAGACAAACATGGTGGCAGCATTAACTATGTGATAAACGGCGCTGCGTGTTTTATTTTCAAGGGTGAGTACAACTCATGCAGTGCACAGGGCCTTGCAAACAATATAAAAGACCTACACCAGTAGTTGTATGTAGCAGGGCGTCAAGTTCCTATTTTTTCCTATTTTTTCCTATTTTTTGGAGATCTACCTATTTTTTTCCTATTTTCTAGAGAAAATTCCTATTTTTTCCTATATTTTGGTCTAAAAATGATGTTATGTAGCAGGTCGCGTCGGTTATTGAAAAAAATGAGGATCCCTCAGTCAATGTTTTGATGCAGCCAGTTGTATTTTAATTAGGATAATGAAAAAAATTGAATCTGATACTGGATCGTACTTGAAATGAGAATCACCATGTTTTAAGTAAAATCCAGTATACAATTTTAATGTAGCCGTCACCTGCATCTGACGTTGCCGTCACAGTGCAATTTCAATGATAATATTATATATGATAAGTGGGAAACCATTGTAGCTTTTGTCTTCAGATATGCGGAACTGATGAATATTTATAAAATACAGATTGAGTTCGAAAATCAGCATGATCGGGCCATTTTTAAACAGTTACGCTGTTTTTCAGGATGTATATTGATGACACAATTCAAAGAAAACCCACAGGTCAATTGTTTTGAAACTCACAGGAGTGATCACCCTTAGTGAAACACAGGTCAAGTTAAAAAATTGGCTCGATAGGACCATTTTTACAAATATTATGCTTTTTGGGGTCCTTTTTTCATGTGCATATGCAATACAGATAATACATAAAGTGTAAAAACGGGTTGACCTATTGTCTTCAAACTTTCAGGAGTGATCAATGTGACTAATTCAGCTCGAGTTTGAGAAAAAAGCCTGATCAGATTATTTTCTTTGTTGTCATGCATTTTTTAATGTACACTTTTCACATTTTGGCAATTTTAAGAATTCCATGGGCCTGAACACCTTTGCTGATCACATTTTCCATTTATCTGTGTTACCTGCAGTGCATAATTAAAAATTGGTCGTGATTATGGTGGTAAGCACTATTTAATATTGCATCAAAGAAAAATCCTATTTAGGGCACTGATGCCATAATGACCATTAATGGAAAACCATGTTACTTATGAATCTCGAAATTACAGAAAAATCAGTTAGAGAATGACCTGATTGCAAAATTTTTTTCTGGCAGTAAACTAGTTTTTAAACATATACCGGTATTATAATATGCAGGCCTATTGTTTTCAAGACCCTTACATTGAATAGTTTCACCAACTATAGTGTATTTACAAGTTCAGTAGAATTGTGGAGATACTTTTGGAGTTTACAGGAGTAGTCATTGTTGCTAAAATACAGGTTGAGTTTGAAAATCAATGTTCAAAAATGTTTTTGACAATTGACATTGTGTGGAATACATACAGTAAGCACAACATATGAAGTGAATTTTAAAATTATTGGGCAGAACTGAATTAAGGCACTGTCACAGCGTTACGCACTTGCATATGAGAAAAAATTATTCATACGCTGACAAACATTGGTTATGTTCATAGAATCAGAGGGGAATAAATATTTTGGGCATGTCAAAAAAAAAAAAAAAAAAAAACAAAATTGCTGCTTAAATCTTTTTGATATCCTGACAATGATTACTTACAGTTTTGCATTTAATTGATCACATTCATACTGTACTTATACATATACATGTATCTACTGTATTTATGCTAGGTGTGACAGAGCCTTTAGTATTTTATGCTGTTGTTTGTAAATTTGTTAGATAAGTTATTCTTGTTACACTAAATAGTGTTATTTACTACAATTAAAGAATGTGTATTAGACTGGTATGGCTTTAGAGGTGTTGTGAAGCCATCATTCTTTTAGAATTATTCCTATTTTTCCTATACTTTTTCAATAAAATTCCTATTTATTTCCTAATTTTTGAAAATCTTTTTTCTATTTTCCTATTTTCTGAAGGTCCATTATAACTTGAGGCCCTGATGTAGGTCAGCCCAAATATTCCCTTTTTTGTGTCAGGGCACTATATTAAAGGGATAATAACTCTTCGAATGAGATCTATATTTCACACAAGAAAAAAAAAACATTGTAAACTACTCATAGAACTATAATATATAGTTTACCACAAAAACGGCAGTTATAGCTATTATTTTGATATCTTAGCAAAGATGGCTATACTCTGTTATAATCTCTTGATTGATTATAACATAAAACCAAACTTTTCAGAAAAAAAAGAAAAAACAGGGGCTAACTTTGAATGTAGAGTATGGATTCTTTAACCATTTGGTTAGTATGGGAAAATTGTTGTTTACTCTGGAGAAATTAATTTTTTGGCCAAAACGAACAGTTATTATCCCTTTAAGCTAGCTTGCTCGCTATATAACCTTTCATGTGGTAGCTTTACCGTTCTGCTGATATGGGTTATATATGAAATCAAGATCGAGCTGACAATACTGAAATCTAGAACCTAGGGTACATGTGTACCCAAATGTAAAAAAAGTTGCACAAACCTCCTGCGCGTTCGCCTGCAGTAAAAACAGTGACTGTGATTAAGATAACGTTTTTCCAGGTATGGACGCATCCTCGTCAGACTGGGAGAAGACACTGACTGTGAACGTGGTTGGATATGCCAACATGGTGCAGGCATGTCACCCCTACATGAAAAAAGGTACATAGAGAGCGTTGAACTAGCACAACAGTCTAGCAGTCTCAACTAGCACAATAAATTGCATACCTTCGGCTTATATGCCCCTCCCATGTGAAATTCTTTTACAAAAAAATTCACTGTCAAGATATAGACTTAATCTGTATCCACTTAACGTCTAAATATTTACCGTAATTTATTTGTGTTGTTACAGTTGTATATATAAATAAAGTCATATCATTTTAAAACATAGTTCAATTTCTCATCATTTTCATTAGCCGAGCCGGGCTGCCGCGCTGTCGTTAATATTGCCAGCATCACCGGACATATACCAAAACGAAATCGCTGGACATACGACGCCAGTAAAGGAGCTGTCTTGCAACTAACCAGGTGTATGGCACTTGACCTGGCTAAAGACGGAATAAGGGTCAACTCGGTTTCCCCGGCAGTTATAAATACACCTTCGGTAGGTACTCTAGGCAGTAGCTCTATACTGTGTGCGCATTTGGAGTACTGATTACACCTTTGAAAATAGAAAATTTGTAATGTAATCATACTTTTTCATACCACATATGTCATCGTGAAAAACATAAATTAATTATTTAATGCTGATGGAATAGGTTGCAAGAATGATAATAATGAGTAAATTATGTTCTATATTCTTCTCTTTTTACATTCTTCTTTTTAAACGCACTAAACGTTCACAAATTTTAAATTTTTATTTTTTCTTCTTTGTTTTTTTTCTCTTGCCATTTTTCACCTCCCGTTTCCAGCAATCATATTACTCACTAACTCTTGCATTCGCTGTAGAATTACGCAAGGTCTTCTTATAGACGTGTCAGTGGCAGCACGTTACCTTTGCTCACCAGAAGAAGGTTTTGTGATAAGGCTATAACCAAGGGTTCATTCCCAATGCAACTATCGTTTTACGTAAATCAATCCAACTCTTGTTGAATGCAATCAGTTCAACAGACCAACACGCCTCCTCTTGGATTTAGTAAAATACAAAAAGCATGCGATATTCGAGCACGTTTGAAACAGAGGCATGATAATCTGTTAAACTGATTGCATTAAGTCAGATTCCCTGCGGATATAGATCGATCTACGTAGAAAGATACATAGCTCCAGTGGGAATGAGTGTAATTCTACAGCAAATACAAGAGTAACGCAAGCTCCAGTATGAGATATATTTATAACTCCATTTTATCTTGGATTGACCGTGATTTAGGCGGAGAGAATCCAAATGAACTTCACTGAGGCGCAGAGGGAGTGGTCGGCGGGTTGTCACATGATGAACCGCCAGGGGGAATCTTCAGAAGTTGCCGCCGCCATTGCCTTCCTCTGCAGCAGAGACGCTTCCTTCATCACCGGCGCCGATCTCCCGGTAGATGGCGGCTACACGGTGATAGGCCCTGAAAGGCATGGGAAAGATGGGCCAGATTTCAGTGGAAATATTCCTGACTAGTTGATATAAGGGAGAAAACTTAATAATGAATAAAAAAATTAACTGATTATGTGTTGTTCCTTATGATTTCTCCAGTTTAACATAAAATGGACGCGATCTCCATCCTTACTGTAACTTAACTTCAACTGGGCTCATATGAGCTACTGCTGTGCTGGCAACTTTCTTATTTGTAACTCTTTCTTAATCATTAACGTGTGAAAGAAGTTTGCATCGTTTACCAATTAGAATGTTATTTTCTTTAATTATAAATGTCATTTTTCTAGAGAACTTGTATGCAAAATAGTTGTTCTCATAAGTTATTAAGTGCACCTTGTTTATTTATATATTCATCTGTTTATATTTTAATTAATAAATTAATTAATAAATTTATTTATTTATTTATTTATTTATTTATTTATTTATTTATTTATCTTTCCATCATAAGGAGTAGAAAAACGTCTCTTGAAGTACCGAAGGAGAACAATACATTTCTCCTATATTAGTCGCAAGGCGATGACACATGTGCCAAGATAAAGTTGAATAAGTTATTTCATTTGGAGCTGTTATCTACATAGAGGCCTGTACATATTTGACTACATAATAGTGCTGTAGCAGATAGATACTGGCATTACAAAATGGAGCGTCGTCAGCCTAAACTAGACCAGTCGCATACAAAAGACAGGTTTAAAGGACGCGTTGCCGTGGTAACCGGGGGAGCCTCTGGTATCGGTAAGGAGTGCGTCAAACG